GTGGAGCCGATATGGGCTGCTGAGTTGATGGTTTGCATTCACAAATATGAAGGCCAAGATGGTGTGGCCTTCTGTTTGGTCGCAGTCTCTCTTAACTTTAAAGTGTTGGTTCAACCTCGATTCGGCAGCTTTGTCGGAGTGTCAGGGAGACCTTGTGGAACGTACCTCTTCCCGTGTCCTCTGTGATAGTATTCCTGATTTCCAGTATTGTAACTCTGTGCTTACACTGGCGATGCCAACTACAATGCCGATTAAACGTTTGATAATGTACCCAGCCAATGGTGCAATGCTGAAAATTACGAATACTATGGCAGAGGACAAGGGGCAAGGTACGTTTCACCAGGTCTCCGACCAAGTTGCGAAAATAACGTCGAACCAACATTATTAAATTCATTTAGAGTGATTGACTTTTTCTCTGAGCATCCGGCCCCTCGGCGGCCGCCAGCTACGCCTGACTTGGATTTGCGTTTCTGGAAGCACCGTATCGTCGTTCTGGATCCCCATCAATTGCATTATATAACCCGTTTCTCTTAATTGTTTATCCATTTTTTGTCCAGGATCTCGGATTGGCCCAGACTGCAGCCACACAAGTACAGGTCCCCATTCCTTTGGGCTCGCTTGTTCATCAACTCTACAAGTTGCACTCGCAGAGTGGCTTTGCAGACAAGGATTTTTCATCCATTTACCAGATGGTCTCGAAAAGCACCAAATGATTTCTTATTTTATACCGGATATCTTCTGACTTTACTACAAATACAGCCAATTAGCAGGGCTTGTCTGCATAATTTCTCAAAATAAACATGTGAATTGGACGGTATTACGCAGACTTGTGTTGTTCCCTCTTGCTTATAGTCTTCGTGACGCCAAAAGGTTTATGTGGTAAGTTTCTCCTGTTGACCCTTTTAGTTGAGGTATCCCCCAACCTCTTTCTTATGAACTAGCCACAAAGTAACCACAACCTATTCGCTCCTTTGTTCTCATCTCCTGAAGGAAGTTCCAGCAAGTTTTTTGCAGCCCCCTCTGTAGACCTGCCCAAACAAACTAC